TTTAGATGGTTTTAAAAATGTATTATAAGTGTGTGTTTCTCTTTCTGATATCTTTTCTAGAGAAAATACATATGCCTAAAGTCATCTTCTTTTCTAAACCTAAACCTGTGATGTACAATTAGATAGACATAATACTACTTATGGGAGCACCAGTGCAAAATATAACAATGGCTTTAAAAATGCAAGAGGATGCAGAGGTACAGTGTATATGACTCTGAAATAATATTGGGGCTGTTAAGTGGATGAATGAATGGTCACAAAAAAGAATGAGCATATGCAGTATAGAAGAAAGTGAGGGGGTCAAAAATAAGATAATTGAACAGTATAACACCATAAGTAACACACCCAGCTTTGGGGATAAGTTCTAATGAGGGTGAATGGTTTGAGTCTTGGAGCATAATAGAGTGAATGTTCAGTGCCTCGAAGAGATCCTTGTGGGAAGATGGGAATAGAAATAGAAGTTTACCAGAAGAGTTGGGCTCCTTTCTTTTATACCCAACTAATTTTGCATTATGCAGTTTTGACACTTTGTTAATTATAATTCTTTAAAGGATGCCTTAACCAGTGCTGTGGGTACCACTGGATCTATATCTGCCAAACTCGGTAGGACTCTCAAAATTTAAAACTAAAAGGTCCAAATCTTTCATTTAATATATGAACTCAGACAAAAAGACAAAAGACTATACATAAATTGCCCAATAAAACATAAAAAGATAGTGGAAAAGCTGAAATGAAAACCCAGATTTCCTAACCCTATGGAGTATTTTTCCTTTTATTTCACTAGTTCTCAGTCTTGGTATCTTTATTTTAGAAACAAACAAAACACAACAAAATAAAATCCTCCTTGACAGAGCAAATATTTTATTGTTATGTTTCAGAACATAGCAGAAGAGTTCCTTTTAGAATATTTTAGGGATTTGAATTGCAGCAATACTGAAGAGTAACCATTCATCAGTCTTCCTAAATTTTGCACCTATACTGCCCAAGGTTGATTTATGACATTAAAGATCACTGAGAGAAGAGTCTGAAAACTGTGTGTTGCAGTATCTGGACTTTTCCTTCATTGTGGCTTTTAGTGTTATTATTTCTTTAAGGAATGGAAATACCACTCTTGTTTTGTAGAGACTATGTTACAATTCAGCATCACTAGAGAAAAGTTTTCTCATTATTTGTACAAAATATAAAATTTGATAGATTATAAAGTTTTCTTGATAAAACTTCCCATTGCCTAATTAGATTACCACCAGTTTTAGAAAATTCCCTGAAAAGGAATTTCCAGCCACAATGGAGGCATAGGCAGATATGCTTTGCTTCCTCACACAACCAAAAGAAGGACAGCAACTAATCTGAAAACAAAAAACAATCAGAACTGCCAGAAAATCAAACTGTATGGAAGTATGACAACCAAGGTGTTAAAGAAGGAACATTCATCCATACTGGTAGGAGTGACAGACATGGCAAGCCAGGACAAAGGACTGTCACTTGGCAAGGTGACAGACCAGGCAGGCAAGGTGGTAGCTGGTAGACAGGGTGGTCCCACATTTGCATGCAGATAAGCCAGAAGGAACAACTTGGGAGCGAGACAGACTGTGCAACTCAGGATTCCAGAGCAGGGAAATAAAGCCTAAAAACCTCGGGCTGTAAAACCTGTGTGAGTTGTAGCAGGGGAAGAAACTTCCAGTCTTACAATAGAGTCTGTTGGAGGAACCCACCCACCTGGTGGGAACCAGCACCAGAAGGACCCAATTCACTTGTGGGTAGCAGGGAAGTGACTGAAAGTGGGGCAGGAGCCAAGCAAGCAGCATTGTTCCCTCTCTGCCCCTCCCCCACATACGGAGCCACAATGCAGCAAGTGGGTTGCCCTGCCCTGGCGAATACCTAAGGCTCCACTCCTTACAATGTAACAGGTGCACCAAGATAAAGAAATATGGCCCAAATGAAAGAACAGATCAGCCCTGGCTGGTGTGGCTCAGTGGGCTGAGCACTGGCCTGTGAATCAAAAAGTTGCCGGTTTAATTCCCAGTCAGGGCACATGCCTGGGTTGTGAGCCAGATCCCCAGTAGGAGATGTGCGAGAGGCAACCACACATTGACGTTTCACTCCTTCTCTTTCTCCCTCCCTTCCCCTCTCTCTAAAAGTAAATAAATAAAATCTTTTAAAAAAGAAAGGAAAAGAAAACTAAAATTAAAAAAAAAAAAAACTCCAGAAAAATAATTAAGTAACAAGGAGATAGCCAACCAAGGAGATGCAGAGTTCAAAACTCTGATCATCAGGATGCTAAGAGAAATGACTGAGTATGGACACAGAATAAAGGAAGAAGTGAAGGCTATGCAAAGCGAAATAAAGAAAAATATACAGGGAACCAACAGTAAAGGGAAGGACACTGATTCAGATCAATGATTTGGAACAGAAGGAAGAGATAAACATTCAAATGGAACAGAATGAAGAAAAAAGAATTTAAAAAAATGAGGAGAGACTTACGAACTTCTGAGACAAATTTAAATGTTCCCACATCCAAATCACAGGGGTGCCAGAAGGAGAAGAGGCAGAGCAAGAAATTGAAAACTTATTTGAAAAAATAGTGAAGGAAAATTTCCCCAGTCTGGTGAAGGAAATGGATATGCAAGTCCAGGAACCTCAGAGAATCCCAAAGAAGTTAGACCCAAGGAGGAACACACCAAGACACATCATAACTAAACCACCCAAGATTAAAAATAAGGATCAAATCTTAACTACAAAGGAATTCCCATAAGACTATCAACTGATTTCTCAAAAGAAACCTTCCTGGCAAAAAGGGGCTGGAAAGAAGTACTCCAAGTCATAAAAGGCAAGTACCAACATCCAAGATTACTCTATCCAGCAAAGCTATCATTTAGAAGGGAAGGGCATATGAAGTGCTTCCCAGATAAGGTAAAGTTAAAGGAGTTCACCGTCACCAAGCCCTTATTATAATGAAATGTTAAAGGGACTTATCTAAGGAAAAAAAAAGATGAAAACTATGAACAGTACAATGACAACAAATTCACAACTATCAGCAACTGAATCTAAAAAACAAAAACAAACTAAGCAAACAACTACAACAGGAACAGAATCACAGAAATAAAGATCACATGGAAGGTTATCGGTGGCGGAGAGGGGGTAGAAAAGAGGGGAAGTACAGGGAATAAGAAGCATAAATGGTAGGCACAAAATAGGCAGGGGGAGGTTAAGAATAGTATAGGAAATGGAGAAGCCAACGAACTTATATATACAACCCAGTATGTGGACATGAACTAAGGGAGGGGGGGAGTAAGAATGCTGGAGGGATGGGGGGTGCAGGGTGGAGGTGGAACAAGGGGAGAAAAGAAATGGGACAACTGTAATAGCATAATCAATAAAATATACTTAAAAGAAGAAAAATCCCAAATAAGTTTTAAGGTATCTAATTTGTCAATATTAAATGAGTCATGTTTCATTTGTGATTTATACTCTATGATTTTTATGAATCTTATATTATTTCAAGTCAAGAGACTGAGCTCAAAAAACATAAGTATAAACGGTTCAAGTCTAGACTCATCCTTGTCACTGGTGAAAATTTTCTTCATATAGTTCTTTGGCAAAAAGGAAAAAGACTTTTTATTAACAAGATGATCATGCATTTTAAAATGATATGCAAAATCCAGGAAGACTTTCAATTTCTTAAAGCCGAGGGCTATGTCTTATTCATCATTGAATGCATTACACTTAACATACCAGCTTAACCACTAAAATGTATTGATACTTACTGAGTGTTTACTGTGTGTGCTATTAGTTTAGGTATGTTCTGTTAACTCAAAAAACAATTCTTGGGATATGATACAATTACTATCCTCACTTTATACAAGAAGAAACTGAGGCTTAATGAGATAACTATGGTCTCAATGCCTACTCTATGGATCCACTTTTCAGCATTCTCAAGAACATTGGTTAAGGTGAAAACAAAAAGGGTCCAGGTCAAAAAGGGCCAATAAGACACTGTGACCATATTCCTGGGTCTTTTTCATCTAACAATAAAACCATAATTCAGCACTGATTTTAACCTGGGGAGTGAAAAGCAATTACTTTACAGCTGATGCTCTCTTGCTCATGTCAGTTTACCACCCAGAGGCCATTTTTGCAGCTCATCTTCCCAACTGCTCCATGTAGAGAATGGTTTCAGCTCTGAAAGCACTCTTTTGCAGTACCATGGTTATCCCCGTTACTGTCTCCTTTCTGATAAGCCCCATCAGTTTTGCTGCTGAGCCATCACTCCCTTTTCTTCCAAGACTTGATCTTTTCTTTTTCAAACACACACACACACACATATATATATACCATTTTCTAGACTACTTATGTATGTCTTGGAGAAAACTTACAAGAAGGGATAATTTTACTGAGGATTCCATTAATTTTTTCCCTCCGAGATTAAAAAAATTAGAGGACACATTTTTCAGTGGCAGCAGGAAAGTCTTAGTTTATATAGAGGTGGGGAAATGGAGTGTATTCTTGGCAAAAACTTCAAAATAACTTATAAAAGTTTAATAAAGAAATCCTTTGAGGTTAGAGCATATCAGTGGTCCTCAGAGTTTTCATCCTATGATGTTCACTCTTCATCATGAACAACTTGAGGATGCCCATAAATATAAACTATAAAATTTTATTTGAAAATCTTGAAGATTTTACATCTCCTTAAATCTGTGCTCTATGATAACTGACCCATAATTTTTTGAAGAAGCTGAGTAGAGAATTACAATATTGCGTAATTTAAAAGTATTTTGACAGCATTCAATTCCCCAACCTAAACTGAAAACTGGCTTGGTCAGCCCATAATTTCCTGAAAAATGCAATAAGGTGAAACAGACACTACCCCCAAGAAATCTTTTACAGAATCGTACAGACACACTAATGCAAAATTAAAACAGATTTCCACCTGAGAATTCAAGAAATGTACTACCTTGCCCCAAACCGGTAAGAATCCGATTACCACAAGGATGGATAGTTACCCATGGCGAAGAATGGGATTCCCAGCAGGGTGGAGTTGTACTTCCCGTCAGTGATGAAGAAGATCCCTGCTGCAGTGACGAGGGAGATGCACACTGTGAGCACCCCCAGGAGGCCCAGGAAGGGCTTGCTGCGCAAACAGTCCTTCATGGAGCTGGAGAGGGTGGCTGTGGTCAAGATCAGCACGAGGCTTACCAGGACCTTGCTCCTGGCCAGGATGCTGGTCTTATGGAAGTCTCTCCACAGACTAAAGGATGCTAAAGAGTAGAGCTCGAGGTCCTGGTGCTCCTCCTGGAGCTTCCTCATAAGTTTACAGAACTCATTTTCCCACTTCTCCCCTATGAGGTCCTGGGTGGCAGAGCCATAGGTCTGGAGGTAGTAGGTGATTTGAATGGCTCTGGCTGACTTCACCCGTTGGTCCTTGCTGTTTGGCACTTCCACTACCCCGCCCAGTTGGTGTCCAATAAAACTGTTCCTCCCATCCTTGAAAACAGAAGAAAGGGAGACTTAAGTTACCGGAGAGATGCACATTCCAAAGAACAGATTCTTACTCTAAGTGAAAGAGCACAAGAAAGGCAAAGATAAGCTCTAGCAATTGTGGAACTGATGTGGGTGGAGTGACATGTTAGGATTTTATATTCAACCTTTTGGAGCCACATGGGAGAAACCATGCAAGATGGTCAGGATTAGGAAAGATGCAAAGAGTATTATGAAGCTGTGCAAGTCTTGCCACATGCATAGGAAATGTATATAAATATTATTTTGATCTCATCCATATCCTCATTCCCACCATTTCCGTCTGTAACAATCTATAAATCCTTTATGAAGGATCAAGTTTTATGATTCAGTTTCAGCCAAAAGTGAAGTGTGGCATGAGTTAACACTTCAAAAGTTAAACTAGTTACTCATTTAATAAATGTATGCTAAACTTTCCAGGGTTAACACACACACCTATACCAACACACACAAACATTACAAACATGCATACTCATCCTTTATATTTCAGGGATACAACTGCATAGCACAGAACAAGTAGAAGAAAATAAGTTTGTTTGTTGTTTTTTTTTACAACTAATTTTACAGTGTTGAAATGGTTTTAAAATAGAATGTGAGCACCTATCACTCATTATAATTTTCCTTCCAAACACCTGACTCAGTCTTAGGTTGACCTTTTACCAACAGATGACAGTGGACGAACCCCCTAAATAAGACTGATAAGATTCCAGATGGGGCGGTCAAAAGTCATCTCAACTTCAGAGTCCCACATAAGGAAGAGTAGGCAAGAGCAGAAGAGTAGGATACTTATAAGAGAAGTAATCCCCCCTATTTGAGGCACTCCTGATGTGGACATTGATTTTCCTGAACAGGTTCAGAGCAGTAATTCTCAACCAGTGTTCCCTAACACTTAGCGCAAAATTCCTGATAGCCATCACAATTATTTATTTATTTTTTGGACCACACTGTCACTTACTCCAGGTGGCATATTGGATTGAACAGAGGATGCAAGATGGAATATAACATTGAAAATGTGCTGCAGGTAATGAGTAGGACACAGGCATAAAGGTAAATATGCCATAAATGGACCATGTGTTTGTTAGGTCAGGCAAGTGATTTATCTCATGAGGATATAAAACAGTAGAATTAGAGCCGAAAACTAGTCTTTCTAGAAGGGTAATACGTAAGGGCAACAAACCAACATTGTGATAACCATGGTTGTTTTCACAGAACAGTGAGATTTTATATAGTCAAGTAGACACATGTAACAATTATTGTGGACTTGTTTAGTCTAGATGCCTATATCTGAGGTTGTTGTTTGTATTTGTATTTTTTACATGCACCAAAAGCAACACTAATACTTGAGAGTATATGGTAAACGCAAAAGTCTGAGACATTTACAGAAGGACAAATGTTAACTAGGATCATCAAGAATTGAGAGAAAGAAATTTCACAGTCACTCCACATATCCATATTTTCCATATATGTTCAACACAAATAATCTTTAATTTAATTCAACCTGGTCAGGGAACAATATATTTCTACATAAGAATTTGATTTGAGTTTATTTTTCTTTTGCTTGGTTTATCTTCCACTTCCGAGTCATCTTTTTTCCTTATAAAAATCAAACTAAAATTCCAGCTGTAGGTTCACAAGGCTCTCTCTCCATGAAAACTTGTGGGTTCTCTGATGAGTAAGTAAAAAAGTAGAAGAGTTTTGAGGAAGGATTGCGAATACAGACTGGCACTGAGAGACTGTGGAATGTGGTTTCCAGTCTTTCAGTCCAGGACACATTGCTCTTCAATTGGGCTTGTTTGTTTTTGCTTTAATCCTGGTATAATTTTAAGCTTCATCTTTATTTCTACTTCTTTGAAATCTCATCTGTGATGTTGACTTGTGCTTTGATTATTTGAAGAAGGTATTTTAAAATCTGTATTTATTCACTTAAGAATGTGCAGTTCCATGTGTCTTTACTAATTTCCATAATCAGAAAGATTTCCTAGGGATCTTTAGCAGTGGAAAAAAGATTTATGCATCCCTCAGGCCTCATTTGGATATTACAGTGGATCAAAGATGGTGCTGATAATGTATCTGGACAAAATTAAAAATTTTAAAGAAAGCAAATATAGATTATTAAATAACTGATCTTCATCAGATTTGGCTAACTGCTTACGCCCCTTTTGAGGTTGTCTTACATTCATTTTTAACAAAAATTACTTAATAAAAGATATGCTTTCATTCCATTATATTCAAATCAATGTAACAAATAGAATGAGTTTCTCTCTCTTAGTTTGCTTTATTTCATGAACCAAAACAAAATAGGCAAGGTCTTTGGATGTCATTGATTCAAAAGCCTATTGAATGGCCCACATTGGAGATAAACCATTGGCCCAATCACCCTACTCAGTACAGTCATGTGAATTACATTTTTATACATTATCTGCAAGGGGGAATTCTATTATTTTGTAAGGGGTGGTAGGAGAGTTCTTTAGTTTCCCAAACTAATCAATTTATACTTGCTTCTATGTAGGAAAAACAAAAAAAGAATAGAACATATATTGTAATTATCCTCTGGACTTGTAAAAACTTAGGTGAAATAAATGGTGAGAATATAAAATCAGGAGTCATGTGATGCAGGCTGGTGTGTGCATCTCCTACTAATTGGATAAGAAACCCTTGTCTGGTTCATTTCTCCTTCTAGGATTCAGTTTCCTTATCCAGAAAATGAGAAGATATGAGTATATGAGTAAATGTTTATATGATATAAAAGAAATTTTAGATCTATTATTCTATGAAAATACCATCTATAAAACAACTTTGAAGAGATCTAAATGTCAGAATGATATCATTATAACTAATAGAGTCATAAATTGATTATTTTTACATTCTCACTCACTGGATAATACTGTTTTGGTTAATTAAATGAGCAAACCTGGAGGCTCAGAGAAAGCAAATCTGCCAGTCAAAGGAATGAACACAGGGTTCCAACTCAATTCAGAGAACCTTAATTCCAGTACTTTCTAGAATCGTATGGGAGAGATAACAGGAAAGTGACAATGACTCCCATTCCCCATTAACTGATCTTTATTATTAAAACTATTTTATAGGTAGATTCCCTTATACCAATATTTTCCTCTCAATTAAACCAAGTGCCAACCATTTAACACATGTTGATTCATTTTCCTCCTTTCCAATAAAACCTCCTACACAAATTCTGAAATTTCTTTAAGTGCAGAAATCACTTGATGTCTCGGTGCAGATAAATCTTTAAATAAAAATATGACAAGAACATAACATACTACTTTCAATGCTCTCCTGTTTCAGTGATTCGCTGAACTGAACTGTCATAATTAAGAAGAGATGGATTGAAGTCCCTAACTCATATCCTCATTGTCTACCTCTGCTTTTCCTCAGTGTGTTCTTCACATTACAGCCAGAACATATTTGCACAGCTCTAAATGAGATCACATCATGACTGCACTTAAAACTTTCTACTAGCTTCTACTTGCACTAGGAATGAAAGCAGAGCCCCTCACCAGGTCTGTATGGCCCTGCGTGGCCCATTGCTGGTTGATCCCTCAGATGTCTTCTCCTACAGCTCTTCCCCTCATGAACTCTCTCCAGTTTTGCTTGCCTTTCTTCCTACTCCTTGAACTTAATGTTCACCTCATGGCTTTTGCATTCGCCATCCTTTCTGCTTGGAATGACTTTCTCTATTCCTAAGGCCAGGGCTATTTTCTCATGGAGATCTCAGCTTCAAAGCGGCTATTTGAATCACATGATCTAAACTAGACACCTCCTTCCCAGCAATCCCTCTATCACATGTCCCATTTTATCTTCTTCCTACTAACCATTTCTATTTTAAGTGATTTTTTTTTTAACTAAGGTTCATTCTTTTACACTGCTTTATTAGGGTGAACTAAGAACACACAAAGCTTTGAATGCTGAATCCATAAATAAGAAATGTCCTTTATTTATTTTTTATTGTTGTTCAACTACAGTTGCCCACAATTTTTCCCCATTGCTCTCCCCTACACTGAACCTTTCCCCGACCCAGCTCCCACAGTCAATCCCCACCCCACTGCTCATGCCCATGGGTCCTCTATTGAAGTGATATTTGTGTAATCATTTAATCGTTCCTTTTCTGTCTCCTTCACTAGAATGTGTGTTCATTGAAAGCCAGCACCTTTCTTATCTTGTTCACTAACAACCTCCCTGTGTCTAGAGCAAAGCTCAGTATGTAATAAACACTTCATAATATTTAACTCAGTGAGTTCACCCTTAGGTGTAGTAACTCATCATACATTATTTTTTAGAGAATATTTTGCCAAGAACAAAAGTAAGAGACAGCTCAAAGTATCTGAGGACAGTAGGAACTCAGATGAAAAGAGGTATACATAGAAATTAGATTTTGAGACAAAAGAAAACAAACTTTATCCTGTTTTTCAATATACTTAGTCTAGTGAAATATTTCCTCCAAACATGTTTCCTCTATTTCTCCTGCACACCGATAATGTGCAATAAGCTATCCATAGGACAGGGGGACTTAGTGAGTAGCAGAGAAGAGATTTGTGCACACTCTGGTTGAGGCAAAGAACAGCACAAGATGTTCAAGCAACTGAAGGAAGTGATGGGGTTTGAGATTAGAGAAGAAAGCAGGACCTCTTCTGTAAGGGCCATGGAAGCCTTATTGAGTTGGACTTAATTGGCATGTGGTAGGAAGCCATTGGTGAGTTTTAGGCAGAGGCATAATAACATGCTTTTTGTTTTACAGTGCTCACTCTCCTTGCACTGTGGATCGTGATTTAGGAATTCAGGTGACTCTAAAAGAAGGAGCTCAGTTAGAAAGTCCCAGTTTCTGGTTCTTCATGCAGCATGAATAAAATGTCAGCTGAGTCAGTCTCTGGTAGGTAAAGTGTCCCAAGGTGAAGCAATGGAATTATATAGGTCACAATGCTATCTTACGGCCATGAAGCATCTCATCACAT